AAAAGCACATTGTTAAGGGAACTATGCATTCCATTATTTTACTATGACAACATATTTGATTCCCAAACTCTCTTGAATCAATCCCAAAATCTCTTTCAAAATTCCAGTTGAGCCAAATGGAGTAGTTTCAACTCAATGTCACAGGCTAAGGGAAGATAAAGCAAAAGAAATTGCACCTTGCTAATCAGCAAGTCAGGCTGATGCCCAAGCAGGAACTAACTCATCCTCATGTACATTTAGGTTTAAAAAAGGTGAGATGCTAATGAGGCTCCTCAGGGAGCAAATGTGATGCCAGAGTGAGCCAAATATGTTGGAATTGCTCTGTCTGACAGTGATTTAGGGTACCAAGCCAAACAACAGGATTTCGATTAGAATGCCACTGAAACAGCATTATAGTAGAGAGTTCACTCACCATGCCAAATTCATTTTTGGTATATGGGTTCAACTAGTCAGGCTGGCATTTATTATTCAGCCCTAGTTTCAAGAAAGTGGCATCTTTGCAACAGTTTTAGTACAGTTGAGTGATTCGACACTAATCTGGGAGGAAAGTTGTGTCACTGATATTGATTTGGAACTGTACCACTTCTTACTAAGCCCACGTAAGGACAGCAATTTTCCTTCCCTTCAGGACATCAGTGTATTTGTTGGGTTTTTTTTAATGACACCCTGGCAACTTTTACCAATTCCGACTTAATTTTTTAAATTTGAATTCAAATTCCCAAACTGTCATGAACTCACTTTTTTAATTACTGGTCCAGTCATCACTATTCTTACAATACAGTTCAATTGATCAAAACAAAAATAAGCTGGTCTATGCTAATTCCTATGCTTCAACTTGCAAATACTCACCATCTGGCTCACATATGAAGAGTAGGCACCTGGGACTATTGAGATGCTGATGCATGTAGAATGAAATCCCCTAAAAGCAGTCTGTGGCTTGAGAGGAGACAGAAAAAAGTAGAAATGGCAAAAAAAGCTTCCAAAAGGAGGTCAGATTTTAGTCTTCATTTATAAATAGTAATTGGAGTTTGCAACACCAGGATACCCAGCATTTTGCAGTCTCTCTCAAAAGGGCTCCTGGATGTCTGGTTAAAAAGGAAAAGAAAATATCATATTGGCACAATACAGACTGGCCTTCTGAAGTAGTGATTATTTATATTAGTTATGGGCATAAATATATCGCATTGGAATGTGCACCTTAAAAAATTATTGGAGAATAATACCTATAGTGCAAACCATGAAGTTGTGGTAAACCTACAGGGGGACAAAGTTTAACAGAAATAATCGTTACAGTGATAAGTTCAATGTATCTAAAACCCCTTCATGACCAGGACATTTAGAACAGCTTCTGTCCCACACAGATCTAGTCCAACTCTTCAAAATGAAAGTCATACTCAACACGACAGAAGTAACAAGGGCTCAGAAGAAGCACTGTTACAGTGATCGACTAAGACATTCAAAAGATACGTAACAAAAGCATTTCAATATTGCACTGTGCTACTGCAAAGAAAAAAACAGATCAAATCGCTGGCATGGTTTTGAAAAAGAACAGAAGCATGTATGAGATCGCATTACTGCCTACAAACTGCCATTAGCTTAAACCTAACACTCAACAACTTAAATGTCTAAGTAATGTGTTTGCATGACTTTAGAAACTGGAATGCTTGAAGTACAGTGTACTTCTTGCTGTATCTGAAAGTTTACCACCTCCCCCATTTGCTTGTAATGGGTGGGAAATAGAAGGTACATGCACACCCCCACACAGGGTAGGACACTTGCTGCTTAATTGCTCCCTGTGCTGCATTATCCAGAGTTATAAATATGAACAAGCCTTCTCTTGCGTCAGCACAATTTACACTGTGTGAGTCATCCAAGCCATGGTTCCTCTGGCAAACGACTATTGTTTGTTTCTAGCGAAGGGTTTGGAAAGCCTCTCCTTTTACTCGGGTTTGTGGGGGGGCGCAGAAGAACGTTAACCCTTCAACTGCTTAATTTTGTTAGCCTCCCACACTGCAGAAATGTTTCCTTTCCTTGCCGGTCTCCAAAAATTGTCACGGCAAAAATCAGAACACTGAATCAATGTGGGGATACATAGACGAATTTGGAACAGAAAAAAAAAGTCGGATATGCTTTTCAAAAAAAAAAAAAAAAAAATTATTTTTCATCAGTATGCACTGTCAAAAATGTTGTTATCTTGTCTACAAAGGGTTATAGAAATTTTATCCATTGCACAATTAAATTGAAATATTCAGCAAACCAGAGAGAGTGAAACAAAACCAGCGTACACACTGGTTTCAATTCAGCATTGTGGATAGATATTATTTCCTTTCTTCTTGTAAAGACAGTGTGATCAGTGTGTGTGCGTTTCTCAGCTAACAGTAATTAACTGTAAAACTGAGTTGTTTGCTAATCCAATATTTAAAAAAAAAGCAACAAAATTGACAGGGTGCTCAACCTATACAATGCAACACAAAAAAGTCGCAAGCTACTTATGGTCAGTTAAATTAAGATGCCACGAATTTCACAATGAAAAATGTAAACATATTCTTTTCGGGACCAAGTAGTTCCTCCTCTCGTCAATCACCAAAATACCAAGTGGATAATCAGAGCAACGGATCAAGCGCATTCCTAAAGTACTAAATGTAGAGATTTAATCCTGTCGTTCAGGTGTTATCAGTTATCAGTTTTAGACACTTGAAAATTGTTTAAAAATTGACAGCCACATTCAAATATCTTACTCCCTGTTTAAGAATTGGAAAAACAAATTCAAAACATCTGCTCTTCCCAAAGTTGAAAAAAAAAGCCAAAAACAAAAGCAAAGAAAACACTCAAGGAACTTGCACATGTATTGCACAGTACACCTTCAACTGCAGGATGAACCTCATTGTGTTAAAGTTCACCAAAAGATTGATTTTTATTTTGCTGAAAGACAAAGTAAAAGAAACCTGAAGATTTTTCAGCAGACATCAACGTAAATTCTACCATGTACACTTAAAGACCAAAGTTACTTTTGCTTGTTTCTTCATTTCCTTCCTCTTGTGGTATTGACACAGCAATTTACACCAGCACTGACAGACTAACAGAGATAGCCAAAGATATGCTACTTAAAATCTGAGTCTACGGAATACTAGAAATTGTTCTCTTGACAACTTAATAAAAACAGTCTTGACTTACTGACCTAAGTAGTATTAAGTGCATGCTCTGTAAGGGGAGAGTCCCTCCAACTGTGACCATTATAGCACAGTATTAGCCTACATTGTGTAACCTGCTGCGGGCAGGAGTAATATTGTGGTTTTCAAAGAGACAGGACCTATATATATATAAACCCACAAGTGTTTTTTTTTTAAATTGACCATGTAGCTGGCAAATTTGCCCAGTTTTCAGACATTGTTAAATACATTTAGTGAGATGTGTATAAGGAACAGGGAGAGAGAGTCCAAATACAAGACAGACTTACTCTCAGGATTGAATGAAATAGCAAATGGAGCATCTTTTAGTAAATTGAATTACATTGATAAACCATGCAAAAGCAGGTCCAAACCTGCTGTTCTTTTATGGATGCAACAGGAGTATTGCTCCAGGCTACTGAACTCAGACTTCACAAGTACAGTCATTTAAATGTGACCCAACTACAAAGAACTTGCTTTCAATCTTTTGAAAAATGCCAACAAATTAAGACTGACAATTGAGTTGTGCAGCACAATAATCATACGCTGTACTCAAGGTACATTGCCAAGAATATTTCTATTAATGCTCAAGTATTTTCAGTATCAATTGATAAGCTTTGGATGCTGGGCAATTAAACAGATATTTACACAGAATTAGCAAGTACTGTGACATTTTTGACTTGAATTTTCTTTTTTGCATTGAATTTGGCCAACAAATTTTGGACGGTGTAGGGAGGGTGGGAAGTGTGAAGACAAGGAAAGTAAGATGCAAGGGAAAAAAGGGCTGCAGTGACAAGAGAAAATCAACATCAATCCTTATACAAAGGAAAAAATTATTCATATTTGTTGAGCTGAATAAACATTTGGTTAAACTGGTCTCATATTTCCAAGCAACCAGAGGACACCATTCATTACAATGTTTCCCCTCCATTAAGGGCATGCGTGTAGGTTTTTCTTCCTGGTTAGGAATGAAGGATGATGTGAAAACACAAGACCAAAGCTATATAAATGAAATAATAAAATCAAACAGCACAACACATCACCTGAATCTGGAGGAAAAAGGCAATTTCCTTTCAGCCACCCACTGACCAGATTTATGTTCAGTAATTAGTGGTTTTATTGCAGATTTCCATCTCTGATGTTTTTTCTCTGCAATCTCTGAACTGCTTTAGTTATATGCATCAGCAAATAGAATGGTCATATGAATCAGTGTTTTCAAGTTTCATATTTACAGCTAGAACACCAAGACTCATGACATTGTCAAGTGGTAACTTATTGTTGCCTCCTGGTTAACGCAAGTCAAACCAGTTACAACTGGTTGCTTCACAGAAACACTTATTAAATAAAGAAGCAATGAGATATAGCTACGCATTGTGTTGGAGAAAGGCATTTGTTTTTTGGAGCTGGATGCAAACCTTGTTTAGGCAAACGGGTTAGAGAGTTCTTCTTACTGACTGCTTATTACCAGTCTGGAGAGAGATTATTTTTAAGTAACCTTAGCCCAATCCGTGGGGGTATTGGGGCCACAGTGCACACTTATTTGCAACCAGCACGAACTGACAATCACACACGGAAAAGCCATGGGTGACTAATGCGAAAAAAAGAAAAACCATCAGTGGTGCAACAGACTGACCTTTCAAAGCTTTGAGTCAAAGTATACCAAGTGAAATAGAATGAGTTTAGAATTAGCAGTGCCAGATCAGATCTGGGAATGCTCGATACTGACAGACAGCAAGTCTTCCATTCTCCTTGCACTAATATCGCTCAACATAATGAGCCATGTATTAACATAATATTGATTCAATAACTGATTAGGAGTCAATTTCAAATTACCTTTTATTTAGCACCATGTTCCCCAACTTCAGGTCCCTGTGCACAATGTTCTTCTGTAGAAGAAAGGAGAAAACAATTTTTTTTTTTTTTTTTTAAAAAAAAAGAATTGATCGGTCTTCAGCAACGCAACCTGCTTAAAGCTGAATATAAGTGAACTTTAGGGTTCATACACAGTCAGAAGTTTGACTCACATCAAACTACACAGCCACAGCAATAATCTCAAAGATCAGGCTTCTCCGTATCAAAAATCACAAGTGATTTTATGAATTACAAGTAAGGAAGGAATGTGATCATCTTTGATCTTACGTCTAAATGGTCCAGTAGAGTTTGGAACATCAATTTAGAGCTGTGATATTATAATGACAACTGACTGATGATCTGTCCAATGATGGCCCCGTCACATATGAAGTATCATTTTCTGATTGCCAGAATATGTATGACTTCTAAGTGGGGGATATTTTCAGAAATCTATTTATCATGTTGCTACATCTGACCAAGTCAATTCGTACCCCATGATCTTTAAAGCAAAAAAAGCAACCCATGATCAGTTAAGTACACAGCACACAATAGCACTGTTTGAGTCATTTTTGGAAAGTTTTAAGTTTGTGTCATGAATTCTTTCTAACATTGACAAATAAAAAAGGGGGAAAAAAAAAAGTCGATAAATAGGAAAAAGTAGATTAAATACTAAATGCCCTTGGAAATGTAGCTAATCTTAGTTACAAGGTTAGGTGTTTGGTCCCCATTGAGGCGCTAATTGCATATTTAAAACTACTCAAATTAGACCAAGTTAAACTAATGAGGTACTTACTCGAAAAACTAAGTCAGTGGAATGATATGGTCATCCCTGATGTGCTTCACTAAGTTCAGAATATAAAATGGAAACTAGGCAGGGTGAACTTGTTTAGTAGAGCAACGAGCTAAATGGAAATTTTACACAGGTTTATTAGTTACGACTATGAGATATGAATCAAGGTCAAGGTACATAACTGCAGCAATCTAACAATGTTCTCCAATGGTTCTAATGAGTGGGCAGTCTATTCTCATTGCTTTGTACTTTCATCACAAAAAAGTCTCAATGCACACAACAGGGGTAAGGAAAACTGCATTTTCTGCAACATCAGCATCAACAACCTGATCAGGAGTGAAAAAAAAATAACGAAACACAAAATCCTTTTACCTTATGTAAAGCTTCCACTACCCGTACCACATCACAGAATATTGCGATTGTTTCACGCTCACTGAGCCTCTTTTCTTTGATGACATAATGTTGTAGATTGATGAGATCTGCAGTTTTATCACTAAAGTCATGGGCACAGAGGCAGTCAAGAACTAAACAGATCCTTTTCTTCATCCTCCGCACAAGCTTGCTGGATTCAAACTCTTCTACAACAGCCCTATCCTATAAAAAGGAGGAAACATTGAGAATCAGTCATCTTTTGAGCCACTTATACACCGCAAACATACAAGCGTTTCCCTATTGTTTGAAAATGTTTTCTCCAGAATTTGCCACACTCAAGAAAACATTGGATTATTGCTTGATAAGGAAAACATATGGGCTATAGGGACAAAGCAGGAGAGTAACACTCCATAACTTGCTGTATACGAGAGTCAACACAGACAAAAACAGGCCAAAATGCACCTGTGATATAACCACTGCGTGTAGAAGAAAAATGTTATCAATGAGAATAGTAAAAAATGCATGTGCACTGCGTTTCTCATACTTACCTGAAAGAGGCCATGGTGATGCACCACTCCATCTTGATTAGGAAGCAAGGACAGAAGAGAGTATTCTGTATGCAAGAGCATCTTTCCTTGTCTTTCTTCCTGAGTTTCCATTCTCTCACCTCTATCTTCAAGTGTGAGAATCTAAGCGGGGGTGGGGGCGCAAATTGGCAGAATTCATACATTTACTTGAAGTGTATCTTTCTTCATTTTAACAACTGATTGTGACAAAGTTTATAAAACATATTGAAGTTCTAACATAAAAAAAGTAAAAAAAAAAACACATTCATTGTAGGAAATGTTGCTTCCATAAGAATCAAAGATACAAGCATTTTTCAGTAGATACGTACCCTAAATAATAGAATAACAAATTCAATACAGGACATAAGCCACTGGAATCACTATGCCCATTATCTCCACATTTAAACTACTTATCCTAATCCAATTTAGCAGTACTTTCCCCAGGCCCTCTAATACGTTCTTTCCTAAACAACCAGTAACATCTTTACAAGAAAAAGAAGTTTGTTGCTATCTGTTTTCACACTTCGACCAACCTCAATTTATGGCTGCTTACAGATTCAGAAACAATCTTGCTCTCTCAAAACATTTGATCCTTTCTACTGATAGCCCTAACTTGTCAATGTCCCACCATCCTATTAGGTCAACAGTGCACCTTTTTGATCACTCTGCAGTTCATGAAGATCCATCGTACTTTTATTTATAACTTCCTTACAAATAACATGCAGAATCCCACTCCACCCTACAATCATACTCTTCGGAGATTTTTGGATCTGTATTCTGTCACCATACTTGACAATTTTACAGTGACCAAAACTTAATGGAGTGTAAATGAAAACAAAGCAGGCCATCAGGCAAGGTATCTGAGAGAGTGTGTATATTTTGTTGAAAGAGAAACTGGACAGATCACAACCTAATTCTAATCAATTTTCCACGATTAGGGAGAAAAACATACAAAACATGACATGTTTGTTTCCTAACAGGTGCATACCACATTTACACGTTTCCTTAAGGAATTCTGCATTTATTTACTTTGAAGCAAATAGTATTCTGCTGTCTAATCTTGATAGCCATTCATCCTGAGAAAACCTGGACAGCAAGTGCGTCAGCAAGGAAGCACCAAAGTTCCACTCAAATCACACTTTCTAATGCAGACTTGTGGTTTTGTTTTCCCTGGGGGGCTTTAAAAAAAAAGGCACTGTAGTAACTGGATACAGCAGTAAGATGTAGTTACAAATAAAGAGTGTCCAGACTTGCTGGCACTTGGGGATACAAGCATCAGTGACTGAAGTTTGGCCTCATGTCAGCACCTTTCTACGCAAGGAGCCTCAAACCAGTGCAGCTGCAAATGAGGAGACCAGAATGGCTTTGGAGCTCAACCTTCATTGGGTTAATATCTTTTTACCATAAAATATTCTTTAGTATTATCCTGTGCTAGTAATAGTAGAGCTTTGGACTATTTTTGATGCGTGATGAAAAAGTTTATAATGGAACACAAGGGCTTTTGTGGTGCAGTGGCAGTGTTGCTATCTCTGAGCCAGGAGGCCCAGGTTCAAGTATCATCTGCCCTGGATATGTGTCAACATCTCCAAAGAGATTGTTTACAAAAACCATCAGTAATTGAAGATATGGAAGTATATTTGTTCTTCCAGTAAATAGGCATTTTTTAAATAGCGTTAGTCAGTTTTCTTCACTCACTTTTAATTGATAGAAGTCATCTGTCCCATCTTTTCTCGCCAAACACTGAACAATGCTCTGTACAGGCGAATTTCCCAAACGAGGACCTAACCAACAGAAATAAAGCTGCTTTAAAAACAAAGCACACACCCTAGAGATTCCTTTCAATTTAGTGGAAGGCCTATGACTAACTCAATTACCTAAAAGACTTCCCCAATGTGTAGGGCTTCTTACTCATTTTAAAAATCAAGTCATTTTGTGTAATAAGTGCCACTGAGAACAGCTCAGCGGATGACTAATCGTTTTTGAGTCATTGAAAACTGTAAAAACAACATACAACTGACAAGTCCTGCTGAAGGATAAAGCTCATTTTCCAATCTTCAGGACACAGCAAAGCCAGTGTGTTGTCCGTTTCAAACATGCTTTAAAATAAAAATTGATGAGAGCTCAAGTGATTCTTTAATCAGAATAAAATTTTCTTCTCTCCTCCACTGTTCAAGTCATATCTGGATTTATGTGGCCTGGTCCTGCAGTCAAATTCTGTCTGGGCCTCAGTGTTGGCATGTTGCTCAACTGCTTGTGATGTCCAAGCTTAGTCCTGTCCTCAATCAATACTTCCAGCAGATAACGAGAGACAGAAATCCCACATGATACTCACCACCACCCCCATCTGCACCTGAAGAAGGAAATAAAAACTAGCCACCCATTCTCAACCCATCTTACAGCATTTGGTAACTTTGCAGGTTACGGCATTTCAGATCTGCTATTTCACACAGGCTAGGGATCAAATTGGTACGACTGTGGTATTCTTAGCCCAGCAAAATGCACCATCTTTTAAACATGCTCAAAATGATCTGTATTCACTTACCCATCTTTATGGCAATTTACCAAACCCATCATTTTGGCAAGAACAATCAGCCAATGCAGCTTTACCTTCAACAAAAAAAAACCCATTTCTGCTGGCTAAAAGTGCAGCAAACACCTCATCCTCTAAACTCTACTATTCAAGCCTGGACATCGGGTTTTGATAGGATATTAGAATACAGCTGATTATATTAGAGCAGAATCTCTGGTTAGTACCTTTTCTTAAAAAAAAAACAAAGTCTGCACACAGACTCTAATTAGTTAATGAGCTCCTTTGATGGTTCCATTCAGAATAGCAAATGGTCTCCAAGCCACCAGAAACTAACTGTCCCAGACGTGACTCCCTTTTTAAACTGAACTGATCTCACACAAGCACAAATACTGACCTCAGTTTCCTAAGCAACTGAAAGAAGGGGAAAAACCTATGGTCAAGCTGATCGTAATCAAAGACTGAAAACTGGGGCTTAGCAGGAATATGCTCTACAGCAGAATTCATCTGTCAACACTAACCATCCCAGTGTGCTCATAAGGAGCAGCAAATAAGAGGGTAAAGGGTGCGTCTGGAATTGAACACAAAATAAGTTGAAGGGCAAGAGGGGCAAAACCAAAATATGGTCACAATATAAACTGATGGCACACACCAATATTCAAAGAACTGAAATTGGATAAACTCACCCAAGATGAATGGCCCAGCCCTTTTACTATTACTTCCAGAGATTCCTGTACAAAGAGCCTTTGAGCGTGCTGAAGATTCGCCAGCTCCTCTGTCTGCTGCTCTCCTCTTCATCCTGCAGTCTCCACTCTAAAGAGAAATAAACACATTTTGAAACATTTGCTACACCTAGGTTGATTCAACTGACCAGAATTATTTTAAAGTGACCCAAAGCAAGATGAAAATTATCAATCTCATGTACACAAAATTCATCCCTACAAGGGTCAAAATTGGCTTGGCAGCTCCAAGAAGCAGAGGCACTGATGGTGTTTTTCCTCTCTCAGTGGTAGTTGATGTGATGCAACCAGCAGTCATGAAAAGGAAGAGTGAGTAATCATTGCTGAATCTCTTCAGTATCATAGTGGGCAGGGCTTCTCCATGAAATTGTAGATATTTAAATATACATAGGATTATACATACACAGACACACGTTATATATCCTTTGTTATGAATGTCATAGCCAATTAACTGGTAAAATTAAAAAGTCAATAAAATGCCATTTTCTCCTTTAAATAAATAATTGAGCAGCTTCCCAATAAAACTATTTAGCACCCTGTTTTGCCTTCACCTGCTAATTCTTGCTGCCTGAGATTATTTGTCTATCACTGTCTTTTCCTTCATTACTAACTACCAATACACTGACAAGGAGCCATTCTATTTCCTTTTCTTGGTGTACTGAGCTGAAGTAAAATTTTTGCTCAACAGAAAAGTGATACTGCTCCCTCCTAGAATGGAACGCTTGCAATTACATTCACCTAATGTGCTGACAACAGCAAAATGATTTCTGATTGTTCATCCGGTTTAGGATGAACATGTGGTTAACTTTCTAACTTCAGTATTTCCAAGTTGGTTATCAACATTATTTATGATTCAAGTAAACAAAAAGAAAACTTGGAGGTGCTTATTTTACAAAGATTAAAACTGCTCAGCCTGTTTTACTTAAAGCGGAAATTTACTGCAATCGTGTTTATAAAGAGCTAGGTTTTCACTGATTTAAAAAAGTACACACACCACAATTTGTGTGAAAACAGGATATGGCTGATTGAGACAAACTGACTTTCAACAAGCCTGAAATCTCTCTCAGCTTCTGCTGTCACTGCATCAACTATGAACCTTACAGAGCGGGTAGGGGTCTTTTGAGTCCTTACACAACTTCAAATCTGCCCATGTTCTCAACCACCTGCTGCAAAACAGTATACCTCTCATTAAAAGGATTTAATACAAACAATTTAACAGCCTGTGGACCCATGGCTTTTTCAGTTATTAGGAGCCAAAAGTTTGAGGCACAACAGACTAACACCTTTCAGGAATTGATGGAATTAGTTAAGGAAATATAATGACTCCAAGCAGCCTCTAATTCTGAGATGCTATCGGTTCTACTTGGCAGTTTGAGAACCAAGGGAATCTGTATCGGGATTTTTGATGAGGTTAAAACAACTGGCAGACATAGCCGACTTGGGTTTAACCCTTAATGAAATACTGAGACACCATTAGGTTTGTGGGATTAATGATGTAACTATGCAAAAGCACCTAGTAGCTGAAGTCCAACTGGACTTTGAACAGGCACTACAACTGTCTTTATCATTGGAAAATGCAGCAAGGAGAGCATGAGTTTCAAGGTATTCTGATGGAAATAAACACCATCACCAGTCTGACTGAACTTAGGGAACACCACTTGAGTGAAGGCAGTTGCATAGTCCCACTCAGGAGATATGATGAGCAGAGGGACTCTACTTCTGCCCACAGCAAAAACCTCAAAAACAAATACAAGCCTCAGCCAAATGGTTAAAATTTTCTTCAGGATCCAGGCCAGCAAGCCATTGTAGTTCCTGCCGAATGATTAGGTATCTACCCAGCTCCAAGAAGCAGTTTACCATTTGTTTAAAATCCACAAAGAAAAATTGGCCCATTGGGCTTCACATTCAGTCCAAACAGTGCTGCGCATTCCACAAACTAGACTTGTTTAATGAATCATTTGCTTTTCAGACTGATTCCCGCCTCTACTTTTGCAAGTAAGGCAAATAGTACTGGGTGGGCCTTGAATCATGGAATCACTTCCTGGTCAAGAAGCAAGGTGGCTCGGCTTATTTGATAGTCCCTGGAAATATTTCTGAGTATTTAGAGCTTCACTCAGGCAGCCAATTTCTAGTCGAAAACGTTCAGCCAATATAGGTGAATCCTTCTCAACCAATTTCACCCCATCACTTTTACTACAGTGGTAACTGAACTAGGTACTTCTCATACAAGACCAGAACCAAAGTCGTACCCTTAATCTGTAAAAGTTCCCTGGTTATAGGTTCTCAGTCTAGCTGAGGTCTTGCGCAAACTTAAGGGTTGGAGTCCAGAGTGAATTTTGTTAAAAGATTGGTTCTGCGGTCACTGAAATGGCCACACCAGTGCGGACCGCCGTCTGAACTGGGTGACTGTTTAACCTGACATTTATTTTGATTGGTTCTTATTTGGATATCGCTCAGCAACTTCACTGTTCCAAACCAGACAGGTGGATTTTCCAGGGTTTGCACACTCTTGGATACCAGCCTATGAGTTCTGTGACTTAATTTAGGTCTAGTGGGACTCTTTTGCTGTCTCAAGTCTGCGAAGCTGGCACAGGCACTGTTCTTCACAAAGCTGGACAGGAGCCAGGCATACTTGTAATTATGGTTAATACAGGATTCCCAGAAGTATGCTACAATTAATACCCCTAAGGATTTGTACCAATACACGAGACTGCATTTGGAGTATTATCAGCCCGTGCCATTTTTCAGTGGACGCTAAAGAACATTTTACAAGGTCTACTCCAGGTTGTCATTTATGTAGGTGATGTGCTGTTAACAAAGCAGACCAACAAAGGAGCACTTAGAACTTGGACACACTCCTTAGACATTTCTCCCAGGCAGACAGGCATACACCTTAGAAGGGAAAAATGTGTTCCAGGTAGCCCAAGCGAGCTGCAGAGTCGACAAGACTGGATTACACCCATTAGAAGATAAAATGAGAGCAATAAAAAAGAAAAAAAAAAAAAGGTGCCTGGGTCCCACATCAAAACTGGAGCTTAGGTCGCTCCTTGGGCTCGTGAATTATTATGAAAAGCTCATACATAACCTGGCCTCCATCTTGGCAATTTTGCATCAACTCTTTTCAATAAAAAGAGTCAGACTTGGAAATGGTGGTGTAGCCAAGCCACAGCTTTCAACAAAGTGAAGGAACAGCTGTCATCCTCCAATGTGTTGGCACACTACGTTCCCAAGCGAGACTTGGTATTGATATGCGATGCCTCCCAATATGGCATCAGGGTAGTATTAGCTCACAGGTGGCCCAATGGAGAGGAATGCCCAATAGCCTATGCATCCAGGATTTTGGCTAATGCGGAGCGTAAATACACGCAGATAGAGAAGGTAGGTTTGGCGGTCATATTTGGAGTTAGGAAGTTCCACCAATACCTTTATGGACGTGAATTTTTAATAACAATGGACCAGAAATGCCTGCTAGGTCTCCTTAAAGAAAACAAGGCAGTGCCCACTGCTGAATTCAGCCTGAAGCTAAGTACGTAGGATTACAGGTTGAAACACCATCCAGGAGGCCAAGTAGAAAATGCGGATGCACTGAGCCGCCTCCCACTGTTACCATCACTGGAAGAGTCCTTAAAAGGTTCTAAGTTTTCTGTGCACACTTCCAGTCACAGCTACAATATCAGACTTTGGATGCAGAAAACTCCAGTACTGACCAAAGAAACTGAAACAGCTGGCAGCGATGGGTGAAACCGAAGAGCCATCACTGGAACTCAAAGGTTTCTGGACCTGGAGAGACCAGATTACAGCACAGAACGGCATAGAGAGAGTGATTGGCCCGAGCAAAGTTCACTGCAGGATACTGGCTGAACTACACCACGTTCATCCAGGGGTTTTCAAAATGAAGAGGTTGGCGATAAGTTGTCTGGTGGCCAGGATTGGATGTAGACACAGCTGTGTCGATTGGCTCTCTGGGCAGTGGCCCAACAAGGACAAAAATAACCGATGGCTTGCCCACATTTGTGGGAATGGCCCGGTAAACCCTGGATTCGGTCACATGACGGCTATGCAGATCCTTTCACGGGCTCAATACTCTTAGTCATTGTGGACACCCACTCAGTGGTAGAATGCTCAAACACAGGACGAAGATAGAAAAACTGTGCGCATTTTGTGCGGTACACTGACTCCTACAAGTGTAAGTGAATGGGCCATCATTTATCAGCAGGGAATTTGAGTATTTCCTAAACTTGTATAGCATTCCTCATCTAAGGACAGCTCATACCATCCGATGAACTGGCAGAAAGAACAGTCCAAACTTGGAAAGCAGTGTTACTAAAACAGCCTATAGCTCCACTAGATACAAAGCTTTCATGCTTCTTATTTGATTATAGGACAATCCCACATGCAACTTATAGGGATAGCTCCAGCAGAATTGCTAATAGGAAAGAGACTTCACACCAGGTTAAATCTGATCTTCCCAGACCTGGGGCGGAGGGTGAAACAGCATCAGGGATGTAGTGATTGTAATGAGGTCAGCCAGGTAGACCTCACGGAATAACTTTTGAGTATGCATTTTCTCTTCAGAGAAAGCGAGTGAGGGGAGGGAGGAGGGGAGACACCCTTGTGGTCATAAGATTTTCAGCCAGTTCCTTTTAGATAATGGAGGAGTCCTGTTCACACTTGTAGATGCAACTTTGCTCTTGAATTGTAAAAGTTTTGTGCACCACTTCATTAATTTGACTCAACCTTTATATTAAAAATGCATCTATCATATTCTTCTCATAGAATCAGTACACTCTTGGCCTGTACTCCTAGGCCATAAGACAAAGGGGCAGAAGTAGGCCTCTCAGCACATCAAGTCTGCTCCAGTCAATGAGATAGTGGCTGATCTGATAATCCTCAACTCTACTTTCCTGCCTTTTCCCCATAATCCTGGATTCCCTTACTGATGAAAAATCTATTTCAACCTTGAGTATACTCAACACCCCAGCCTCTGCAGCAGTAAAGAATTCCACAAATTCAATACCTTTAGAGTGAAATTCCTGAAGTCAGTCTTAAATAAGTCACCCTCAAACTC